TGATCTAGAGGCTAAATGGATCTGGGGTCAGAATTGGTCCAAGTGACCACATACAAAAATGATGTCAACATAATGTAACAAGCAAGGTTAGGTTGCCTCAATCTACATGTTGGATATTTTGAAGGAAAGCCTTGAAATTTAAGCTCAATGCAAACAAAATTAATAATGTGTCCAATCATGCCTTCCATGTTAGCCAAACTATTTAGTTAAAACAAATGGAAAAATGTTCATCTCAATCTTTCATAATCCCTCACTTTTCATCTACAACTCATACACAAGAAATCACCCACTATTTATGTCTCTTCAGTGATGAACTAATCATGAATAACAAATATATGAATAGAAATCATCAATATTTTATTGCAATGCCTAAAATTTATTGCACAAGATGAACATTTCTCATCAATAATGCCCGCACAACAACATCCATTTTATTGCATGAAGAATCGAATTTTATCCTGCAACAAAAGTTCATCAATCGAACTAAACAACCACCACCACATGGGAAAAACCTTAACAATCTTTCTTTTCCTTTTACTGAGTTTATTGTCAAGATGACGTCAAATGATCTCATTAATTATCCTTTCACAATACTAAAAGCTAAAGTAAGGCAAGGTCGGAGGGCTCTAACGAGCCATATCTAGTAGAGCTCTGTGATGCCGATTAGATGAGGATGAATGTGCTCAGACTAGTTTGCAGACAAGTACTAAGATAAAAAGGGGACCAACCAATGGGTAGCGAGTAGGTTGACATGGCCGACGGCCTGTGTAGAAGCTCTGGGATCAACCTGTGAAGAGAAGGGCGAGTGAGACGTTATCACTGGAAGGGAGAGCTCTAGCTCAGATGATCGCGATAAGTCAAATTAAGGGTCTCATGGATAAGCGCCTTCCTATAGTTGAATTTGTTGAGGATGGTTTCCCTAAAAGAGAATGACTGGCTAGGATGCAGTCCAGGCATGTGGCGAGTACCAAACTGCTAGATTTGGATAGGAATCTTCAATTAGCCATGTGTAAGGTGAGCTTCTAGGGAGGCCCAGGCAAGTGATGTCGATTAGTCATTATTGTCAAGTTCTTCCACGAGCTTCGAGTGAATTCCTTAAGTGGGCCCTCTAAGAGGGCAATTACCTATTAAAGGCCTATAAAAAGATATGCAAGTATACATGAAATGTCTAGAAAAACTAGATGAATTCTTTATAACTTGTTCCCAAAAGTTGATACTCATTTTCTATGATCCCTGCGGTTTAGCATGATTTCTTATAGTGATGTCATCTCATTGATACTTGTATAAAATCTTATACCTTTTTGGTGTAGCATACATTATTTTTTTTTCATGAAATGTTTATGTTGTATCCGTAGCCTATGCCTTCCCTTTTTTGAGAATCTCCTATTTCTCGAAAAGCTTTCCGGACTTAGCCTGCAAGTGTAAGTGCCGGTGAATGACATATAGCTAAGCCTTCTCCTCCGCTTAGGGAGCAGTGAACTGTGCATTATGTAATCGAGAGAGAAAAACCATAAGCTGGCTTGTCTTGACTGAAGACACCTTTCAGCTTACAATGCCTTGGCCAGGGGAAACCTCTTCCTAACTCTTAGCCAATATTTATTGCAACCTAATCTTCCCCTGGGAACCTCCCAGAGGATGGTCCGGTGGAACTTTGTAGAAGATTCCTCTGGGATATTGATGAGAACCACAAAAGCATTCATTATGCCTCGTGGAAAAGTCTTTCTAAACCAAGGAGGATGGGGGGACTTGGGTTTCATGCAAATTCTAAATGGGTTGGACCCTTAAGATCTCGGATTACATGGGAGTATATCAGCAAACCGACAAGTTTCTTTCATAGATGTATGAAACAGAAGTATGGAAACTGGCCATGGGTTGCTGATTTCAAGCGTGGTGATTTGACGGTGTGGAAAATTCTTTATGATGGAGCAAATAGCTTAGCTTGTTGTGTTAGATGGAAGGTGTGTAATGGAAGGGACATTAACATTCTAAACAATACTTGGGACAGATTGATAGCATTGTGGCCGACATACTGTGACATAGTAGCTTTGGAAGATCAGACTGTTTCTGATCTTATTTCACCGGCCGGAGATTGGGATAAACAAAAACTTCTTATCTGTTTTGGAGAAACTCTTGTGGACAGAATTAGCAAATGCTGATGAATTTTTCCCACCTTTTTCTAATTTCTAATTCTAAGGGGTGAAGCGTTTCACTTAGACAGTGAAAGACGCGCAGCGTTCTCTCGCAAGAATTGTATGGGAGTTGTCCTCAGAGGGACTTCCCGAATGATCGTACTGGGGAATTCTACTGTACTTCGTGCAGCTATGGTTGTTGATCCTGCGGAGCCTACCCAAAGGTTCAGGCCGGATTGTAGAAAGTGGGTGATACGTTTTTGTATTTCTATGAGAAGCTCTATGGCACCCACGATTCCAAGTAGAAGACTAATTGAGAATGGGCCCATGGACCAAGATATCGGCCAGGAGGGAAAACCAATCTAAGAAGGGAAATTCGGATGAAAGCTAGCGCCTTTGATTCAGCTCACTAAGGGCGGATGGTTCCGTTTCATCACGAGTTCGAGAGTTGCCCCGAGGATTAAATCTTAAGTGTTTCTCCATCAAGCTAAGTTATTAACTAATGTGTTGATGCATTGATCTTTTTAATTTTTCTCCTTGATAATATTCTTTAAATTTTAAGTATCTCATAAAATTCGTTTAAGCAAGGTTGTGAAAATCTGACTGGACAACGAATGAGAAGTTCACAGTTCGATCGGTCGAACTGAATGACATAATAAATAATAATATTACTAAAAATAAATAAAATTAACATAAGTAACAAAAATTAAATGAAATAAAAAATTATGAAGTACAAAACTTACATAATTAATTAAAAGAATTATTTTAAAATATCACAAAGAGCAAAAAAAAATCCCAAACCTCATAATTTTAAGAATTTACACTAAAAATAATATAATAATTTTAAATTTAAATATATTTACAATTTTTAAAATTGATTTTTAATGTAAATTTAATTTACATATAACAATATAATTTAATATAAATTATAACTAATTTATATTACTTATATAATATAAATTTAATTCAAATATAAGTTAATGAATTTGATATAAATTATTATTAATTTATGTTATATGTTTAGCTATATTTTACATCTAT